ATCTAAGCGTTTTTGGTAATTTTTAGTATCAAAGCACCTGGGAGGGATTAAATTGATGGTCTCACTTCTAAACATAAAACTTATATAAGCACGCATATAAGAAGGAATCAGGGCCGCTAGGGGCGGAGTTTGCCACTTCAAACTTTTGCTCTCTTGATTTTTTCACGAGATTAGCAAGTATATGTAATGTGTGCAGTATATGGGGGCAATCGAGAAGCTCGTTGGATCTTTCGAGGTCTGCTCACGCTTCTGAGAGGGACTCAAGACCGTTTGGGGCGGAGTTTGCCATTCCAAACCCACTTTTTTCAACTTCGGATCCGAAAAAATTACGGCTGCTGTGAATGTCTGAGTGTTTTGATAAATTTGTGAACACATGCGGTCCGAGCGAAGTTTTTGAAGCGGGGGGGGGGGGCCGAATGTCAGGCGAGACAAAATTTGTTTCTGTTTTTTGAACTCGCCGATGATTTTTTGCTATACCTCTCAGATTTTTGTGACCTTATGACCCTGAAGATAGAAAAAGGCGTGTCAATAATCACGTCTCAGAGGGTTTTTTTGCGAAGATAATTCATCAAATTTTTGAAAGACATTCCAATAAAAGAACTCACTTGCATAGTTCTAGAACTCATATAGATAACTTCTGATAATGGAGGGGGGGGGGGAGGGGAGGGAGAAGAGGCTGCTTATGGGCAGTTGGGACCACAGAATTTTTTACGAGGTGAAAATTTGATGTGACCAGGTAGTCTCAGATGTAGGCTCCAAATCTTATGTAGATCAAACTTTATGAGAATGTAGGGGACCACCATGTAGAGCTTGCTCTGCCCCACCAGGAAAGAACCTAAGTCCACTATCAAACCGAAAGGATTATTATTGTCTAGTTCAGGAAAAAATTACTAGGCAACCCAATAAGTGATGCCAAATTGTCTTCCCAATAGCATTTGCGAAATTTTCTTGCACAGCAGAAGCTTTGGCTATTAGCTAGATGGATCGCTTCATTTCCACGACACTTGACGAGCTGATTCGCGAGTCGCCTCGCACTTCTTGTCAGCTATTCTTCTTCTTCTTCTTCATCGCGCAGCCAAGGTCGCGGCAGCGATCGCGCGCGCATCGTCGCGACCAATCGCGCTGCTCCCTTTCGCATCACCGGATCAAGTTTATGGTGCCATTGCCTATTTCACTGCCCCCTCGCACCGACGTTATGCGATCTCTGACTCAATTTATGACGATGAAAAGTTTATACGGCTTTGCCCACACATTTCCTCACAGGGCTCGCCACAGGCGGCTTGTAAGCAAGTTGGATATCGTTTTTGGGACAAAAAGCGAAGGGGATATCTTTTTTGAAGCTGAGAAGACACAAAATTTGTGAAGTTTTTTTCTTCAGTCGACTTTTCGTTTTTTGAGGATTTTTTTCAATTGGGGCTTAAGGTCAAAGAGGACCTCGTAAAAATTCGCAAAAGTCAAGGAGGACTTCGTTCTCAGCATTTTCAAAAAGCCACCTCCTGCCCAGCCCTGTTCCTGCATTTTCTTGCCAAGGACCCAAATTTATCTTCATTCCCATCAAAATGCTTGTTCCTTTTTCGCGCCTGTTTCGTTCCACTTTCAATTTCATCATTGCGCATCACTTTTGTTTCTCTCATCATACATTTACATTCTTTCCAATAGAAAACTTTTGCGATCACGCATATCTGATCGCACTTTTAGTTGCGATGTGTCATGCCTGGTTTATATTTTTCTCAGATGTTCCCAGCAAATGTGTTTTTTATTGCTGGAATCTATGTAAGTCTGAGGGTGTTCCCTTAAATATTTCTTCCAATTTGATGGTCGTCTTCACCAAAGTTTGTTATCTTTATTTTCAAAACCTAGAATACATTCTCTCGAAAGAAGCAGTAATTTTTGTAAATGTTTCTTTCAATATCGTGATGTCACTTTGTCAAAGGATTGAGATTTTATGCTAGAATCGAGGAATATAGAAATTTTTGTCGGCTTACCTAAGATTTTTGTAATTTTTGCCGACCTGGGATTTTTGTAAGTGCCTTGATCAAGCATGACTTATTAGGTTGATCCAAAAGTTTTGTCGCTTTAATGCTTTCTATCTGAAAGTATTTACTTACAAAAATATCTTTCGATAGGAAAAATTCATCTACTTTTTATTTGCGGCTGTTTGACAACGGACTCCATATATGAAAATGAATAGGGGAACCACTCCAACTCGTGATTTTTTAGAATAAATTGTCAGAAATTTAAAGTGTTACAGAAAAGTTTTAAAGCATACACTTTTCGTAAGCTGCTTATTAATATTTTGGTCCTTCAAATTCGACAAAATTTGCTTGTCCTACTTCAAAAGGCTTTTAAATGACACCATTTTTGAATCATGCAGCGAAATGAAGCCAGTATGAAAAACTTCCCGATTTCAAAAACCCACAAAATTTTCCATTGCACAACATGCACACGTATGTGCAAATACACTTTGTCCCAAAATGTGTTCAGTATCGGGGTTAATAACTCTTTTGAATGAACGCGATGCAAGGGTCAGCTCCGATACTGATTTGCTGTATCCAAAAAACTACTAGTCCTCCCGTAGTAATTCAATATTGAGTTACTACCGGAGGAGGGTTTGAAGTTCGGACAGAGCTAAATTCAAGAGGGTCATTAGAACGGTAAACTACTAAATACTCCTTTGATTTTGATTATTTCATTTTCATTTTCCACTTTATTTCGGTGAACTACGTTCATTAGAGGTTGATAACCATTTTTGCAATAATAAAAAACATGATTGCAATCAGAAATTTGTTGTACGGTGCCTAATTCACAAACGGCAAAAATAGAGAATTTAAATAAAGTTGGAGAAGTAAAGATAACCATTGTTGAAATAGAACGTATCATTCTAGCAACCCTGCAGTATGATATTAGAGGCAATGAGAAAGGAGGTGACAATTGTCAAATAGTGAGCACATTTACTAACATTTTGTATAATTATATGTGATTCATGAATTTACAGAACGTTCTATACATAGAGCATGCCACTACACTACAGATGGTAAATCTGAAATAGAATCTGCATATAAAACTCAAGAAAAAAGCTACATCGTCTTTTGATTGCTCGACTATAGAATATTTGTGCATAGAAGAAGATGTGCACTTAAATAAAATGCTTTATTTTTTCTTTAGAAAGTCAATATGTAACGAAGTTCTCTCTGATCTGTTGCAGAAACCACTTTCGAAGTCTGTCACATATTCTGCTTTCTAAGGCCTGTCATCGTCTTTGTTTTTCCTCATTGTATTGTCTAAAACGCCGGGGCTCAAAAATTAACAAGATAACCATGAGCATGAGATAGTATCTCTGCCTTCAATGCTTATGAAGAACGACAAGGAAGGCAGCGTAGAAGATCTTTAAGGTTTTATTCCTATATGTAGATATTATCTTCATTTGCTGTTGTGAATGTAATGCTTAGTAGCGCTGTATAACGTTAATCATGAATCGTAGATCCTAAATAGTGGAATACATTGGATAAAGCCAAAGCAGGAGTTGGAGTAAAAATCATGCCATAGTTGACATAAACTATGTGATGTTAAGAACCCTTTTTCTCTGGATATCTTTCATTCCACTATCTTTTACTTTTTGAAAAGAATTTGAAGAATTGCTTTCATAATTTACCCTCCAACTTCATTTGTTCTCCAAATTTCGATAATATACAAAAACCATCTCATAATCCGAAAAATCTGTGAATTCGATCTGGCACACATAGATTGTAATTGTCCCCGTTCCAATGAAAACCTTCGCTGAACAATCGCCACCCAATAATGTGTCTATGACACAGAGACACTTCAAGGCAATCGAAATTATGTGATGACCTGGAGCTGTTGGATCAGAATAGGTCAAACTACTCTACACAAAGAGACTGTAGTGTAATTATTGACCCAATGGGTATCCTTAATTTTCAGGCATTGTTGATGATCGCGATGGGAATAATGGTCATTTCACTACATGTCTAGTTTCCTTTTTTCATCTCAATCCTTTTCATAGTCTTATAGCCTTCTATCATCAGTAACTGAACTTTGATGAAACTCCGATGATTGACGATTATTTTCTTGTAGTGTTTGAAAAAAGGAATGAAAAATGGGAAACGTCTCTACCCTGGCGTAAACGAGTAGTCATATACTTTCATCCGATTTTTCTAAATTTACTCTTTTTCCTATGGATCTATATATAGACTTTTTGAGTAAGAAGCTTATTTTTTACTCCTATATTTTCAACTTTTAAAATCTTTGGGTGTTCATCTTTTGTTTATAGCTCAGAATTATTTTTGAATTGCTTAAAACGTGCTAGAAAAATTAAAATTAGATCTTACACAACAATTAAAATGTAATTAGTGTCTTGTTTTTGACAAAGTGCTGCTCCTATGCGTTTAGAGTGTGATAAACAGCTCAAAAGCTTTGATTCCTCTTCCGAATCGATCTCCTGATGAATGGAGGCTTCTCTTCACATCAGCTACAGATGAGTTTAGCAGAAAAAATGTGTATCTAGCAATTTTCACAAAACAAGGATCAATTCGCCTTGCTTTAAGAACTCAAGATTAAAGATTGTTATTATTTTGCTTCACTTTGCTGGAGCGCCTAAATTCAATTCTTCTAAGAAAACTCTAAAAGCAGTTCTCATTCATTCCTCGAATATCCTATAAAAGTTTTCGAAGTTTGTGTTTTTCATTAATCTAACCTGACAAACCCATCAACATTGACCCATTTTCCATGCTTGACTTATCTTACCCTGCTTCTTCAATGGCCTTGCTAAGCCATGCAAAAAGTTTTTGAGATGGGCAGCACAAGGGGGTCGTGTGCAAATGTACGATTTATCGCTTTGTCTGGGCAATGAGAGGTGTCCACAGCGTTGGTATCTTCTATTTTGTTCTTATATTTCCGCTCTCTTCTGAAAATTCGTTGGTTTTTCTCTCCATCCGTTACTATATCAAGATTTTTGTCTCTTTTATTCCAAGCACTTCATTTTCAGAATTTTTTCGGCCATGGGAAACCGCCAATCCGGCGTTTCACCGGCTGTCGTACCCCGGCCTAAACACGGTTTTTTCCATAAACTATTCGCTAAGACTCGACTCGATGCTACTGCCCTGGCGCAGACCTGCCCACCTCCGGTGAGTTTTTCTTTTCATTTCTTGTTTTCCTCGATTAATCGTTGAGTTCATCGTTGATTCTTGGCTTATTTTTTAAGCTGCTGTGAAAACAGACCAAATATCTGCCAGGATTATTTTTAAAAGAATTTCATTTCTCTACAAAAGTGTTACATATGCACCACAGGAGTTGTGTTACTCAAAGTAATTGAAGATTGCTAAAAAATAAAAGAGAAAATTATATATGTTGCTTCTTCACTCCGTTTCGTCCCCTAGACGGAGTGTGACTTGATTTCTAAGTCTTCCCCGGAATTCCTTTCTTGTTTCTGAACTCAGCTTGATTTGAAATTCTGAAAAGTCTAGTATCAGAAGAAATCCTAGCTCAATATTTTGATTATTGGTAAACTCACTAAAACATAGAAATGCTGAATTTACTTGCTTCAAAAGCAAAATGAAAAGGTTCTTGAGGATTTCAGTTCACATTTTAAGTACCGATTTACGGCGAATTACTAACTAGATCCCTTGCTTCGAGATAAGAAGAAAAATAACAATGGGGTCTAGATAAACTAATGCATAATCCAGCAAGTACCCCATTAGCCAAATGTATCGCTTTGTTCCATCGGATCTGTATTTTTAAGTTTTGTAAGCGGAAATTGGCTTCCGAGAGGCATGGCTAGGGCTTAGAACGATCACAATCATAGACTAAAGGGAAGGAAACTTAATAGAGGCGATCTGAAAAGATGCTCACCAATGGGTAGTGTTCGAACTTTTGATTCCGAGGATAATTCTTAACTATGAAGCTTCTTTCTGACGTTTGAGGACTTTGCGTATGGGTAACGAGGTAAGGCTTGAAGGACTGCCTGCGGACAACAGGGTCTTCCACTACTCTCGTCATTTAGAAGATATTTGAGATGATTCCGATGGCATCAGATGTATCTGTGATTTTAGATCACTTGAGCGAATCTACATACTCTTATATGTAAGACTGCTGCTAAATGACTTAAGAAAGATAAAGGCGAAAAATTCATGACTTTGACCAGACTTGGAGTTAGAAAAGGAGATTTGAAATTATCGTTCTAGGCTGTACATATTTTATTAGGGTTGGAGGATGATTTCTGTTATGTTGACCTTTATGGTGCAAGCAGGAAAACTTTTCGAAAAATTTTTAAAATGTCCATACCATTTACGCTGTACACAAAAAAGGAAGACTTTTCACAATAGTCTAACTTTTTCAATATTTTTCATCCTCCTTTTTGAGACTCCAAGGCAACAAACCTTCGCTATAGGAAAGGTAGCTTAAAATACAATCTGAATAATAGTGGATGAAAAAAGCAGGAGGAGAGGCAAAGAGTGCAGGGAAAGAATAGGAAGCTTAAGTATTTTTACAAAATTGTCATAACTTGCTAGCTACATATGCGGCCGAAATATGCCGAATTCTGGATCCCGTCTTCCCCCTGCTCCCGGGTTTAGAAGCAAATTTGAAATTTCAAGAAGATATTAGTATTATCCAGAAATAAAAACAAAGCAGAAGTTATCCGCTAGCGCAATAGTCCGATAATCCAGTCCACATTCGTCTCTATTAGTACTCTCCATTGCTGTAGTTCGCTACGTACCAGTCTAGCTGGCAAAAACAGAAATGAACCCCATCATATCGCATTCCGTGGTTGATAAATGTGTGTTCGATTAGATACAATGTGACAACTTTCACTTTATTCGCTTTTTTGTTTTATAATGTAGCAAAACGAGAACGGAAACCGGATTTTCGTTTCCAAGAAGAAAACTTTAAGAAGTGTTAATCAATACAACAGATTACCCTTCAATTTTGTAACAAATGACCTTAGAAAGAGCGTTTTTGGAAAATGCATTTTTAGAGTCTCAACTGTGCTGCATTATCTTCGGAATTTACGCAAGATTTTGGTTTGTCTACTAAAAATAGCTGAAAAGTTTTTTGGGTTTTTTTGCAAGTTTGGTTTGTCGAACGAAATTAATTTTGACGTCTTTTTTAGGACATTTTCTTTTACAAAAAGCTACACGTGTAGCTGTATAACCGTATAGCCCAACCCATAGATACCCTTATCCAGTTTATAACCCAACTAAACCAGCGGTAAGCGACTGGTTCTCCATTTCGGCAGGGTGTGGCTGGTTGAATTCTACCCGCCATACTAGGAACGGCCTTGCACTGTTCTCTAATCTATGATCGGGTGCCTTCACCATCTGGCCCATCAATTTCACGTTCAAAGTCATCTATTTTTTGTGATATTTTTTCAGGGAGTATGCAAGAGCTCGACAACCAATCGGCTATGAAAAGTTATTCATAATCTGTAATATTTTTATATTTATGATCATCATCCTTGCAACACATTATTAAAATTAATCGATTATAAGAAAGGCGCTTTGGAAAGACTAGTGCAGCTAAAAGTAAACACTCTGCCTTTTGGATTGTTTAAACTTTAACCTTCCATATACTAACCATTTTCTTAGGCCAAACCTTGGCCAAACCTCACGCGATTTCAATCACCACGCGACTGGCAATTCGCCAGATGTCTCTAAAGCTAGCATTGGCAGACCGCAAATGCATGGCCTGTGCAACTTCCGTAGGTTGATAAAATCCCTATTCTTCTATTCTTTGGGATGCGCGCGCGATGAGTTATGGATGACTGGAGTATGGCCAAATTAGGTTGCGACTGAAATCGCGTGAGGTATGGCCAAGGCCTTGAATAAAAATTTGCAGCATAAACAAGAAGTCATTGGTAGGAGCGAAAAAATTAACACATTTCTGGTATTTCAACGCAATGAATCTATGTGTATTGCCGTCAAAGATATGTTGAATAAGCAACTTTTTAACTGCTGAAAGCTTACGTCTACTAAAAGGCCATGTAGGGCTCGGCACGAGCTGGCACCAGGGAAATTTCAAAGCGAAGTCCCTTTTGATCCTAAGCCCTATAAAAAACCCAAAAAAACGAAACCGCGACTAAAAAGAAACTAAAAAAGGTCGCAGTGTTTGTGTTTTTCGACCACAAAAACGACATCCCCTTTGCTTTTTGTCTCAAAAACGATATCCAGATTAACCCGATGCCAGCTGTGCCGAGCCCTGAGGCCATGACATGCAGAAGATGTCTACTCAAAAAGCAAAGTCAGCTATGTAGTAGGTGCTCTTTTCATTTCGTGCTCCTGTCGCTGTTTGATTTGACAAGTGCAAGTTAGAACACTGCACCCTTAAGCTTTTGATTTAATTTCCTTTTTATCATCAAATACGATAGCACAACCATCAACCCTCGTAGTTGCCTATCAATATCACTTCTAATCCATTTTCATTCAAGAGAATGGTTCTTTGTACCGTCAGCTCGTTTATGTGTTCCATTTAGAGCAAGGATGGCCTTATGTTATAGCTTAAGCTCTTTTTCATGACTTCTCATTCTCTTTGAAGCCTCCCTTCTTTGCGCTTGGGCCACGATGAAGTGTGGGAAGACCTGCAAAAGTTAGTCTTATAAAATTGATTTGGGCCATACTAGAAAGGGCTATAGATAAGTTCTTATTTAAAATACTCACTCAGTAAGTATCAATTGCAAAGTTCTTGAGATGAGCGACAAATCTAACTTATGCAGATTACAGTACTACACCGTATCCCACCCCATTCGATGTGTTAATTACTAAAAATAAGAAGATAAGGCTTGCTTCCGCAAATTTACAAAGATTGTGTACTATTTTTGTTGATCTATGGAAATACTTTTATTATAAACCACAAAGTTGGCCTATTTACAGTAAACCTCAGCCAAGCAAGTTTTTTTTGCTGATTGTGCATTTGCACATTTTTCGAGGGTGCAGCAAGGGAGTGCACCTGTTTTTCTTAATTTCTTCCTGGTTTCTTCGTTGCTTGAATGAAACATCGATTCTATGCAAAAAAATATATCTCAATTCTCTAACTAGGATGGTGTTCCATTGTCAACATCCTGTTGTGCATTTGCACACATCAGTAAAGAAACTCTCTGGACTGTGTCTTCTATAAATAATAATAAAAAAAACATATGTAATATATATTATATTATATTAAATATAATATAATGTAATATAATATAATATATACATGACTTCATAACCAAATGCGCAAATAGAAATGGCGAGTTTGTGTAAATAAGCCACCTTAATCCGTCGCTAGTCTTTGTTTATAGAGCAAGCAACTGATCCCTCAAACAAGCAAGCATTGATTTTTATTCCAGGTTTTGCACGAATGTTTCAGTTTCCATTAATTTACACCTATCGCTTATCAAAAAAGCTGAAGAAGTACCCTAATTTCACGAGTACAGGACCCACATATTTTTTCTAAATTCTACCAGCCTGAACACACCGAAAACTTTCGCGACAAAAGGATCCTATAGAGTGCTGCGTATTGTCTCAGAGTATCGTGTAGCATAAATTCGTTTTCCGAAACACAACGAGGCGGCTGAGCGGCTCACAGTCGAAAAGGGGCTTCTTGTACTTGTGAAATTAGGGTTATGATGTCAAGAAGGGGCTATATTCCTGTCTCTATTGAAACATGTCGTTGATGACTCCTCTTTTAAGCTGCAGCCTAAGAAAATGGCATTTGTTCTGCCTTTATCTTGATTGAGAGCAGCAGAAAATTTGCCATGCTTCGACAATTGTTCTCTGCTGCTCAGGCTAAAAACAAAGTTACTTAAGAGCATCAGAAGAAGTCACGTGTCGAGCTTAAGTAAGTGTTCAACACCAGCTCTACACTGTTTACTGCCAACCTCTCGTCTCTTTGCTTCTTCTCCGAATCACTCGAAACAGCCTGTAAGTACGACACGGCAGAGTTATGATAGTCTCTCACCGGGGAAGTGCTGTTGAAGCTGATTTCCGGATTTCTAATAAACTTAGATTGGGGACGAAGGGAAATTGAAAGGTGTTGCAGCTGACTTTTGTGATAATTGCTTGAATTAATCGCGTAATGATCTGCAAAACTTGATCTGGAGTGAATTTTGGTTACATAGCTAGGTTATCCGTATTGCCATCTCACGGATCATCTAGAGGATTACCTAAATGAAAGAAAACATTGTATTCAAACATAACCCTAGAAAGCCTATGATGCGCGTATGTTTTACCTTCGTTTTTTGTTATCTTTTAACCCTTGTCTGGCACATTTAAAGTGCAAACAAGTAAATAAGTTGTATGATCAGTCATCCCCAAACTACTGTCGACTCTCTTATATAATAATAACTTTACATGTGTAGGTATACGAAGCTTGAATTCTCTCTTCTTCATTCTTACACCAACTATTGATTTACTGTTTACTAGAAAAATCGTTGCCAGGTCGTTCATCTCGGAAGAGATATTCCGTAGATTCCCCATAGGATGATGATAATCAGCAAATGAGAGTGTATTTAGTAAGGAGATCTTCTTTTCTTAACATTAGTGATTGCAAAAATTTTTCTGAGCGTCTCGGGCAACCTAGCCTTTCTCCGAACTAAGTAAAATGTTGCTAGTCCCCTCCCCAAAAATATTCTCAATATGCTTCCCAAATTTTTGGAAGCCTCGACCTTACGAAAAAATCGAGATTCTTCGCATATCTATGTCCGGCTTTTGCAAAATTGAAATTTTTTTTGATCATTCACAAGTAAAATTGGCGAAGGGCGCCTTTTCCTTAGGTTTCGTAAATTTTTACTTTTATAATTAAGAATTGTTCTCATTAAGAATGTCCTATGAATTTTTACTAGTTTTCGACAGATATAACAAATCAGAACTGCTGAGCATTTTGGCTTCAATCAATTTACTATCTGTAGTAGTTCATCGCAGTGCTTGATTCAATTCAACTAATCAATTCAGTTCAATCATTAATTCTACCTATCACTTTTCCACTTTCATTTCTTCAACTTTCGTTCGTTTTTCTCGTTGCTAACAATTCTTCTTAATTAGACATTCCCTGCTTTTTTAAATTCAAAGAAGCGAAGCGAACTTGTCATTTGCAGATTACAAAAAGTCTAAATGAATTTTGTTGCTAAGCGTTTATGCTTTTCGTTCGAAAGGCTCACAAGGACAGCCTCCAATCTCTTTTTGAGATCTGTGTAATAAATTCCAATCAGGCGAAACAAATGCCAGAATCTGAACATGCCATCTTTTTATCATCCTCAATACATCATCTTGAGATTCATGCTAAATCGAGACATGGCACCTGACTCCTTGCGCTTGTATTCATTCATTCATGAAGATCCTTTCACTTCTAGCTGACTGATGCGCTTGATTTCCAATCTGCTTTTACTGTTTCCGTCTTTTCGTTTATTTTGCTCTATCTTATTTTCGCACACCAAAACTGGAGAGGTTTCTATGCTAACTTCCGTGAAAGTGATCCATTTTGAGAATATTTTAGCCATCAAACTTGATAACATCGTTTTTATATATGCTGGAGTTGGACACTGAAATTTAGCAATGGTTTATTATGGATCATAGCTTTTTATGCATATAAATTTTCTTATAAAAAAGTATTGAAAAAAGAACTGCGCTTTTCCTAGCACTCTGTTAATCATTTTTGATAAATGAAATATGTTCATAAAATTTGTTTATTAGTTTGTTGTTGGGCGCTGTTCGAAGAGAAAATAACAAATACTGCTGTAAATCCTCTTGTCTTTGAACCTTGGCTTGATCTATGTAAGTATATCATCTATAACAACCTGTTCGGCATAATATAACAATTAAAACAAAAACTGTTTTTTTGATGACCTCTTACTTAATTCGTATATATTCGTAATTGTAATTCGTATATATTCGTAATTGTATATTGTTGTGAATAATTTATAAGCTTTATAAGCTTAATTGAGCCGTAACATTTCATCTTACAACTATCCTGGCGCTGGCGAAAAAGAAAGCAGACTATCAGATCCCGTACATATTGAATTAGAATGCCACTTTGATCCGCGTCAACAAAAAAAAAACAAAGGATTTACTGGTTATTGGCACAGATCACTCTATTTGCTGATAGTCGCAATAGTTAGTGGCTCAGTTATTTTGTTTCTGCGAAAAGTTGTTTTTGTGGAAAAGTGATTTGCAGCAATTGTGAATGTTTTGAAAAAGTGAGGTTGACGATGATTGATAGAAGCAACGACTGGGCGAGATTCCAGTCGTTGCTTCAATCACATTTCCACGTAGCGCATGACAGCTTCTTGGAAACTTTTGATAATTTATTGTTTTTCATCAGAGATTATGTGATTTCCAGGCAATATTGACACTTCTTTGATTTTCGCAACAATGTCTTTGTATCACAGGCAGAATCCAGAGCAAAGCAGCCTTGTCGTCTTTTTACCTTCCTTACATCTTTCTTTGTGCGAGCCAGCCAGCTATAATTGAAATTAATATCTTGCTTCATAAGAACCTATGCACTTCACTCGGCAAAGTAGCGAATGCTATAGCTTATATCTCAGTTGGCTTTCCTGAACCGCTTTTTATTTTTTCTTCATCAAAATCGAAACTTACATGAATTTTACAACTTTATCTATTATCACTTTACGATTTATTTATTATGGTGTAAGTGTGCTCTGGAAAATTTTGGCCTTCCATTGTTTTCCATCTGTGATTATAAGGTACTCGAATGAAAAATGTTGAAATGTTATTTATCTATTTACTCATAATTTTTCTTATTTCACACACCCCACCTGCTACAAAAGATTGGTAGGCTGAACCAAAGATATTTCTATCAAAGCAGAATAAAAAGCCTATCAGCATAAGTTTACTTCAGTTGGTTAATACTGATTTTAAGATCTGATAAATTTTGTTGAATGAATTTAGGGAAATCAATGACTCACTTCTTGTGCTTCTAATGCTCTAATTTGCTATAAATTAATACCTAAAAATTTCCAGAAAAGCAATGTACAAATCTTCTCTGCTCTAGTTAGAACAGATTATTCCGCTACTTTTTAAGGTTATGCCCCATTTGAGGAATGCCTCTAGAAAGAAATAACACATTGGCGATTGTTCGAGAATTCCAGCATACAACTAAAGTGCTTTTATACGAATTATATATATCGGACAGCAGACGAATTGTATGCTTATTCTTTATGTTTCGTTTCCAGGTTGGAGGAGAAATGCCGGTCGGTGAATGTGCAATGTTGCGAGATCGACCCGCATTACGATTAGACTCTCGACTTGTATGTAAATACGAAATTCTATCCGTTATAGGAAAAGGAAGCTTTTCACAGGTAAATCGTAAAAATTTCTCTGCAGCAAAGACAAAAATAATTTAAGAATTTCCAGGTTATGCGGGTGCAACATCGAATATCTCGGAAGTACTTTGCTGTAAAACTGGTTTCATCCGATTGCGGTTCAGTGAATAATGAGCTTAATATCCTTAGCCGGGTATCACATCCGTTTGTCATACGATTAGAGGAGGTACGGTCATTTATTTGCCCCAAATTTTTTCTATTATGGTCCACCTAAGTTGTGATGTCGCGCAAGCAAGTTGTTTTAGCTTGTGTTGGGTGTGTAAACTTCAAAATTTTAAAGGGATTTCATAAATGTAAACCATAACAGAAATTGCTCTGTACATCTCCAATGGTTTATAGTGCGGCAGTTGGTAAATACTCAGAATATGAGAGAGGGAAGAGAATGCTTGAGGTGCGGGTGTGGAAACAGTACGTAATTAGTAACGCACTTTCTCCCCCTCCCCTCTTTCCCGGGGTTGCAAAATTTCTGAGGATGGCGTTTACGAGTTACAAAAATGTGCTATTGGCATGCTTTTACTCGCAAAGGTTTGAAGTTATCAATAGGCCCGCGAATATTTTGATGAGCATGAAAAATTTTCGAAGCCATTAGATTTTCCATTAGTGCTGTAGAGCTGCAAGATTGTTTCATAAGGCTCCTCTCGTCACCGATTCTTGAAAAGTGATGTAGGCTTTTTTGAGGTTAGATAAACGATATTTTATAGGTTGGAACCTGAAATTACACGCACAGTAAGATTGGCGTAACCCCATAATAACGCACCAATCCTCACCAAGCTCAGCAGATTCTCTCATCTCATTTGGCTCAAACTTTTTGTCTGAGGTGAAATATTATGGAATATCCACGCTATTATTCTTGGTGGCATTTCCCTTACCATTTGGGAAGATTCCAATCGAGAAAGTGATTGATGTTTGACGGGCGCGTACTTTTTCTTGCGTATCCTTGATGATGCGATGCGAATTTGGAAAAAGAGAGAGTAACGAATCATTTTCGCGCGGGTACAGTTTTCATGGTCCATTAATCTTCAGGTATCAAATGCGAATTTTTTTCTTTGATAAGTCTGTGGGAGGCCGCTTGCACATTCAACCATATAGGGGCGGTTGATATTTAAAAATATTTATCTTGACAAAGCAAAAGTAGCATCTTTTGCAAAACGTACATATCTTAGAAGTGCGTTGCGATCAAGCAATTCCGAACATTTCTATCCTAAAATTTATGCTGTATCTATTTCCTTGATAATTCCCTAAGAAACCTCTGTAAAAAATGTGACAGGTGACTCACCCTCATTTTTAAGGTATTCAAGTCCTCTTCAAGGTTGTTCATTGTAATGGAAATGGCAAGCGGTGGAGAAATGTACGAAAGGGTAGTATCCAAGGGAAGGTGAGATAAAATCAAGAGACTGCTTGACAGATGTTTTCAACGACGATTTTTTACAGATACTCAGAATCGGAAGCTCGACAGGCGCTAAAAATGCTCCTCAATGGGCTAGCTTACCTCCATTCTCTGCGAATCACGCATCGGGATTTAAAGCCAGAGAATCTCCTGTATAGTGATGTTAGGCCTGATGCTAGGTAGAGAATTCTGCATTGAATCTACTCAAAAAATGTTCATAAAAAATCTTTTTGAACTCAAAAATTCAAAAAAAAGTTTATTAAAACCAGAGATCAAAAGTTAAAAATGAATGTTTTTTTGGAATTGCCCTCACATCCTCGAAAGTTTTAGAATGATTTGCAGATCGGAAAAGAGAATTTGTTTAATCATAATATATCTACTGCAATCTGTTACGATACGGTAAGAATACGGTAACATTTTCGCAATTAAATCATCATAGATATTCCCCTCCATAGCTCACAAAATGAAGACATATCAGACGAAATGGGCACATCTTTTGCATGTGGTTTACTTCGCTCAGAAATTTAGAGCAAAGAAAACTTTCAAAAGACGAGTTTTTTTTGCAGAAAAACAAGTGTTATTTCTCATTGAGCTTGCAAGTAATTAGGTTTTACATTTTGTTTTTCAGGCTATTAATCACAGACTTTGGTCTGGCACATCAGGCAACTCGACCTAATGAAACCATGACGGAAACTTGTGGCACGCCAGAATATATTGCACCTGAATTGCTGCTTCGAGTGCCATACACCGAAAAGGTAAAGCAATTCTTGGATGGTGTGGCCTTTGATACCCAATAGGAGAAGGTTTTAAGAAACGCAGCCAAATGTTTTTTCTTTTGATGTTATCTTTAGTTCGACGTTAGTGAGCGACATAGGCCTATTTGAGGGTCGTACTTCTTTTATTGCTTCTATTTTCCCATCTTTCAATCACTCTCAAAAGTCATTCTCTAGCCTTTTAGGTGGACATGTGGGCTGTTGGAGTAATCGCCTACATTTTGATGTCTGGCATAATGCCATTTGATGATGATTGCAGATCCAGACTCTACACTCATATCATCACTGCCAATTATGTATATTATCCGCAGGTATTCAATTTGGTTGATTTGCTAGTCTCAAAAATTTTCTAGAAGTCGCTTTGGCGCAAGCACTTTCCACCTGTACAAGACTAAGAATAAGGAAATTTCCAAGTTCCGTTCCGTCTTTCCACTGGGAGAAAATTTGACAAAATTACGATCTTCTCCGAAATACAGCATAGATTTTAATGCATATTCAGTAAGTAAATCATTTTTTTGAGGAAGTGTCGAGACTTTGTACAAGGCTGCAGCTGCATAATTGCTTTGTTGGATAGGCGTTAATCAATGTAAAACTTTTTCCTCTAGCAGGAAAAAAAAACAGAATCAATAAATGAAGACAGATGAAGGAAAGAGCTTCATCATAACATCCAAAAAGTGATTTTCTTCCAGTTGCGTAAGCAGATGATTTTTCAGTTTTGGTCGGGTTCTGAACTTGCCAAGCAGTTTGTGGACTGCCTCTTGGAGACGAATGCTGCTGAGCGCCTGAGTGCAGTGGATGCCGCGAGGCACGAATGGATGACTGGTGAGAGAGTGGTACCGATAACGACAATCAGGACCAGTCGACCAGGGTCCGAGTACAACAACATACAACGGGTTCGTTGGTCATTGTCCATCGTGAACTAGCGTATAGACTCAATTTGTGTTTTCAGACAAAATCGACGCGTTCCATCCGCTCCGTCACTCGCTCCGATCACGGACATCGGGTTGATCCACGCGAGGTTGATCAACTGGCTAACGACTTGAAGCGGGCAGCACAAAGCACCAAAAACTACGGAGTCTTCTAGCCGGCACCCTCCTATCTCATGACTGTCTTCTAATTGAACGCATTCACAGACAGCGAAGCGTCAGCCATTCGGTGAAATGACCCGCTTCAGACAAATTACGGGATACTCTTTGAGCCTATTTTCTCTAACCAGTTATCAGGGATTTTCAAAGTGCAGAAGTTTGCATTTATTGTATAGGAAAGTAGGGTTGCGTCGAGCCCTGCATACAGCAAACGAGTTCATCATTGTGGGCTCACTCGAGTGCCGCTAGGACTCTGCCCTATCATCATCTCACTGCTCCCAACTAGTTCATCTCGACGTTCTTGCTACTCTCATGTTGTTCTGTACATATTAGGTGCTACATAGGATCCATATTTTTATTGTGCCACAACATCTAGTCTTATACTTCATGAGAATAAACATTCACTTTGCAATCGTGGTGATTTGAGTTTGACTGGTGTGCTAATCTAGTAAGAATTAGCTCGAGAAGTAGCAGCAAGACCTGGTCATGGAAAGAGAGAAGAAATTTTGCTCACCCATTAGATTTCTATCGTTGCCGCTATTTTTGAGTCTCAAAGCCAAGTCAACCGGAGATTTATAGCAGTTATAATGAGTTATAATGATTATCTCTGCATTATGGATCATCGTCTCTTGAAAGACTCTTAAGCCAGCGATTTCCACAATCTAGTGCTATTCCTACGCTAGTCTAAACTAAGCACGATTGGCAAAATCTTTTACTTTCACTTTACGAGCAAGCCTTCCGATCTGGCACGTGTAATGTCGACTGTGGGGACAAGACACATCATCCTTTATTTATTGTTAAAAAAGGTATGCTATTACCTGTAGTTTGTTGCTAGGATGCAAACATTTAACACTACCTAGCTTCATAGTGCTATCGTCAACTCTTATTGTGTAGATTCAGATGAACACAAAGGACCGCAGAGTGACTGAATTGCGTTTATCCATAATTTGTTTCTTCACGGTCTTACCACACTGCCAAATTTTGGATGGATTTTGTTGAGAACAACCAGACTTCGTGCGTACACTTCATGGTGAATCCCGCAGTGCAAAATCTTTTCAGGAACATTCGGAATCTTTCAGATTATACAAATGTCTACTTGATTTTTCAATTGAAGAATCGAACAAAGTGCCTTCTGTGCTTTAACTCAACGACAAATAAGTTTGTTGTTGTCGTGTGTACCTTTACTTTGTGAATTTTTTTGCAACCTGGACAAATTCTGTCCTTCTTGCAACGCAAGAAAGACTTCTCACTATTCGACGTATTCGTGCTTTCAGTCGAAGGAGACGGTAATCTAAAGCACTGCAGAAGGACCAACAATTTAGACGTCGAGCAGATCCTACATACCTTCGTCGTTGAAGGTCACCAGTTACAAAAGTCGTTTTGATTTCTCAACTTGCCAGCATGTTCATGTATGAAGATTAGTGAAAACACATGACGGAGAAAATCCAGCCAAGGAAACGCTACGTTTTTACTTCGATTTAGTAAGGCTTAAGGCATACCTCAGGCGATTCCATTCGTTGCGCGATCTGGCACGGCAACGACTCTTCACAATATTTCGTAAACGCACTTTGCTCGGGCCAGACCTATACCTATACCAGGGCCCGGCAGGAGATGGTATTTCAGAATTTTGAAAACGATATCCCCTTTGAAGCCAAAATTTCTTACGACTTCCCCTTTGACCCTATTTTTGACCCCCGTAAGTCCCTGACAAACAGATATACGCAAATAATAAGATGGGGCCTCAGCGCTTATTATAGTAGTACTACTACTACCTGGCTTTTCCTGGTCCAGCCCGGGTCATCAAGGTTTCACCTCAATGGGTTCATCCGCAAAGACCATCGAGCTTATCTGCGTGTGCGCCTCCGAGGTACTTATGGGAAGCTGGGCGGGACACACACTACACCTCACCAGTGATCGAGACAGGATCAGCTTAACTGTTTTGACCTACAGTCTGAATCACTATAGTTTCTTCCTATGACCCTAGTGAGATGTAAAAGTCATTTATCACTTATCAAAGTCAGTTATTATCGATATATATTCTGTATGCCTTTTCATACATTGAAGCGTAGAAAGAATTGGGGTGCAAGTGCTTCATTCAAAAATGGCCGAAATACAACAGGAAAGTGCGATTACTCAACCTTGCATCCTTCGAATAGCTTCTGAAAAATGTATACATTGCATTCGTACAAATAATATACGTGTTGTAATCTAGAAGTTAGCTCACTCCGCAGATTCCTGAGGCCTTCGTCTTGTCGCAGAACTGCGGAGCCACAATCTTTGGAAGAAGTCCTTTGGCAAATTCTTCAACCTTGCCGCACTGTAAGTCATAGAAGAGTGAGAGGAGAACGTGCAAACACAAAACTATATTCTGGTATGTGTTTTGGTTCAAAAAGAGATTTATCTGCTAGTAGTAGTTTCAAGATTCTTCTGACTTACCGCGTCGAAATCACCCAAGATCTTAATCTTCTCAATAAGTACGGGGATTTTCATTGCAATGCATAGCTTCTTGGCCGCACCACCGATTGCTGCAAACATAAAAAGTCATAGGGAAGACTATGGGAGGTGAATTTTGCCGGTGCCCTCTGCTATATTTCTTCAACCATAGATTACACTACCAGATAGCAGAATGAGATGCGAAATAACAACTACAAAAAAACCCCCCAACCATTACTGATTTTCGTTGCAGTGTCTCCTTTGAAGATAGTGTTGCAAAGGAATTTGGTTCCCATGCCGCACACCTTGCAGCCAAGTTTTTTGTCCAAGCCCAGGAAAAGTCTCTGTCCGTACTTCGATTTCGGGGCTGGAAATGAACAAATTATACAACTCGCACTCCAAAGTAGCAGTAACTGTTGGTCTTCTGTTCTTAAAGCACCAAAAATTGCTAAGTGAATCTTGTCTTCAGATTGCGCCCAGAGCTGTCGCGATCCAGCGCCTTGCCAACGTAGTTACGGAATCCATGTAAACGCACATATTGTTCGATCCTCGCAGGCACATTTCATCCGGCACTGCGCTGGCACCAGCAAGCAACTCTAAACGCAGCCTCACAGCGATTCTCACTTAAGATCTTACCTGCTCCACACATAGTGTAAGGATCAACGAACATTGCCAAGATGTCGGAGAATTCCTTCATAAGCTCTGCCTCCTGTAATGGACATTTTCTCGAAAATCGCCATACATAAATTAATGTTAAAAGGCTTAAAAACATACCATTGAGTCTGTTGCAGCACTGGCAATTTCTGAGGTCTAAATGCATTTGTTAAGGGAAAAGCCTGAAGTTCTAGGAAAATACTACATACCGCAAGCTTGAGCGCATGGCATGATCTCTCTTGGTTAATGCAAACGTCTTGGCAATCCATTGGAGCCTATAAAAACCCGGTTTTACTTATTGTTAGCAAATTTGAAGGTTATATAACTTACACTCAGAGGGACCTGGGGGAAGAGGTCACGGAACTGCAAAAAAATTGTCACTAAAATCAAGATGAAATTCAATCGACAAAAACAGCAAAATTTTACTCAATCCTACCTAAGCCTAAGCAGTTTAGATGTACAGATTTGTCCGACAAGTTTATCACTTTACTTATAGGCAGTGTTCGGGATTTCCTACATGGATACTGTTTGGGAGGCCTTTGTTAAGCCGTTGCTGAACGGTTTCCCGTATAAACTATGAACTAGAGCTCAAACTCTAACTTTCCAGTGGAACCAATCAGCGTCCCCAACCATGGAAAATACAGGTCGTGGAGTTTAGACTTGATTTCCTCGGCCACAAATGACATACGATATCTCAGTTGCGCTAGGGCTTAGTTATGGCCCACTAATCAGTTTCCATGTGAGGAACCCAGATACCCAGATTGCCGGAGACCGCCTTTATGTGAGCCTTTATGTGACGAATAATTCTTCGAAGCCTACCTCGGGATTGTTTATCAGTGCATTCTGAAGGTTGCATACTGTGCATTCGTTGAAGATCTCTTGACTGTATTTGCCGATGTCGGCTGAGCAGGCAACTGAACCAAGAACCGCATAACAACTACCTTCTAGGAAAATTTAGAGACTCTGAACCTGCCAACAGGAGAGCAACCACAAAACGAAGCATCTCGATAACAACTGTCTTAACTATTATTCCCTCGTATTTAAACAGTGCAGCAATGGATTTGAGCTTTGCCTTTGCTTCTTTTTTAGAATCGCAGAAAAAATTTGGCAAAAAAACTGATAACGATAAGAGGATTTTTGGCAACGTTTAGGCTTATCAAGGATTTCATTCAGCTCGACATGCTAAGAGAGGAATGAACACACATGATATCAAATTTTTTTTTCGTAAACTTCAGAATGTGTCACGATTTTTCACGGTCACCATTACTGACTTACACACTTGGCTGGAGCACCATAATTCACTTCATGGCTTTGAGCCCAAAGCTGCCTCGTTGAAGCATGAAAATTACGAGTATTACCAAAGTTAAGAGTGCGTGGAAAAATCTAAACTCTGAGGAGCTCTTTGTAACCAAATAGTTTTTCAGCGCGAGATACTTTTTTAGGAGTCTTCTTGTTTGCCCGGTGTCTATAGCGTTTTTTGTTCTGTGGTATTTGCAATGAATGTCCATAGTGTCACATATCTGACCTGATTACGAACAAGCAATTTCACTGACAAAGCTTACCGTATGAGATTATCAGTTTTTTTCGCAGTTGTGTGACTGATCGCACGTGCGGAGAAAGAAATGTTTGGCTTTGTGTTTACGACTGTAGATATATTATACACGGTTGTAGAGCTGCTGTAGAGATAGGTGTAGAGAATTCCGAAGGACGTGAAATTATTAGGTCGGTGCAAAAGTTCTTTCTCTTTCTTGCACCAACTCGAAATCCCCTAAAAGGTTGATAAACGAATTCAGGCACTAATCTGCGCAGGATTTCTTCATCTTTCCAGCAGCTACGTCCCCGTTGCAATTCTATCAACGAGCGCTGATAATCGCCGAAAATTACACCTTTGATTTTTATCATGTCTAATTACTCCAATTTTCGCGATATTCATTTGGGACTTTCAAAGGCGCTTTGATAGAGAAGTAATAAAGCAATCCTTTCACAAATTAACGCAGTTTTCTGTATCTTTCTGGCATGCTTCTTGAAATTACCAAAATATATCAGGCCATTCCGAAAGTTCGTACCGTTTCTCAGCCCTATGCTCAAACCATTTAGGACAATGATAGACAAACGCTTTAAACAATGTTCGAGTAGAATTCCTTCCTGACAGTTACGTTCTTGTTCAGATTCCTTTGATGTCCGTTCAAATATTAGTCAGAGTCTCCAATCCATGGTTTTTACCCATCTTGAGTTTGGCTATTTTTTAAAATTTCCATTTTCAACTTTTGGACTACTCTAATTTCACGAGTGTAGGACGCAAGGAATTTTTTTCTGAAATTGAACAGCACAGACAAGCCGAAGGACTTCGCGATCAAAAAAACTATATACAGTGATGTATATTGCCTGAAAGTATCGTGCACCATAAGTCTCGTTTTTCGAAATACAGCGAGGTGGCTGAGCGGATCGCTTAAAAAATCGAAAAAGGTGCGTCTTGTATTCATGAAATCAAGCTAGCTTCAATAACGGATAAAATAAAGAAAATGCAAAGCAACACTTTTTGGCACCTCTAACTCGCTTCTCGAAATTTTTGAAAATATCTTTCTAATGAAATTGAAGTCTTGGGCATTAGAGTCCGCTGAGAGCATGAAAGGCGAGCAAACCAGGGTGTTTCAATGCAGCTTTTCTCCTCTTCCTGATAGACTTCTTTCCTTCCTGATTTGTATAACACATGAGGGTAAAATCATTATAACTTTTGTTTTCAGACTTTTCTGAGGCTAGACACGAAGATTTCGGAATCCAATATTCCGAACCGCCAAACGCTCAGTTGCTTGCTAAAATCAGTATTAAGTATGAGATGTTTTTGGAAGCTTCACAATACGAAGACTTACCAGTGTGGCGGTTGTGTATTTCACGACTTGGCAAAAGTCAAGGCTTTTGAAGAACTATTTTGAAAAATGCTGAAAAGCTAATTGAAGAGGCCATAGTTCTGTAATGCACTTTCATTCTATCCAAATATTATCGAAGCTAATCTAAGAGTTGAAAATGGAAATTTTGAAAAATGACCAAACTCAGGATCGGTGATAACCATGGGGTGGGGATTCTGATTACAGGGCGAATATCAAAGGAATCTGAACAGAAGCACAAGCACTCGAAAGAGGAAAAAAATTCTACATCGAACTGCTTAGAGCGTTTGTCTATATTCTGAATGAATTGGGATCAGTCTAAAAACAGCACGAACTTTTGGATCGATTTAATATATTCTGAAGTAACCAGATCCATAGTAGGCCTATTTTAATTTCTTTGAACAAAAAATGGAGACAGCTCAAGTAACATTCGATGCATCTTTCTGTCGTCTTCGTAATATTCATGTTTTTACTGCGATACATGCGACTTTTGCAATCAAAATTGCCGTATTTCTCAATTCTAAGGCTGCTCACTACTTTACCTTAGCTTTTGAAATCTACGTATATATCTTCATGCGCTGTTCGCTCATTTAACTTCTAGTGTTACTAATAGCAACAATCAAGTTTCGAAATCTCAATATTCTAAGAATTTTACGACGATTTGTGCAATTATATGTTCCGCGATTTTCTCCAAAACTTGTGACTTTTGGAATTATTCATCAAGAATCTAGAAAACATGCTAGAGAGATACAAAAAGGCATATAATTTCTAAAAGGTTTGCGCTACCGAATGGCTATCAGAGCACCTTCAAAGGTCTCAAATAGAATTTCTAAACATTGGCGAAGATAAGCTTGTTGAAACGGAGAGTCATAATCTTCGGCGGCTGTCTCCGTATCCGATCTCAAAGTCGCACTACGAACAGAACTGCTGTGAAAACTGTTTTGGAGTATTTGTTGATTTCACTCTGCGGGATTCGAGGGTGGTTTTCAATGAACGGAAACAACTTTTGCACCGACTAATACCAGCAAGCAATGCAAAAAAACATTCGTCTTTTCCAGAGTTTCTAAATCCGTTTTGGTAGCATCAAATCAAACTTCTTTATCTTCATTCACGCACTTGTCTCCATTGTAATTTTGATTGCTTTCCGTGTAATCTCTTTTTTCTTCTCAAATGTTGTGCCTATTCTTGATTTTCTTCCTTTATTTTGCGTCAAAATCGTTCTGTTGAGTTTTTGATAGAGCTAAAGGTATCTCATGTCGTGAGTTCCGACTAAATCGAACTTCATTTTTGTATTTGAGATTTTGGTGTCTTGATCAAAATCTTTGTACGTCAAGCCTTCTCCAATCAAATACTCTATCAGACTCTGCCTGCAACAAAAGGTCACAACGCAAAAATCAAACCCTGCTGCCTCTAAGGGTGCCTTCATACCGCGCCGGCAGCCGCCGCTAGCAGCCCGTGGTAGCCGCAAGCAGCCGTAGCCGCCGCTGGCCGCTTTTGTCATATAAGCGCAAAATCACCAAATTCTTACTACTTTAAGTGCAACCGCCCACGCTTTCTATCTTCCACGCTTTTTCCTTCTTGTTGTCGCTATTCGATGTCATATATCATATTTGTGTCCATTGTTGTTATTATCTTGTTGCCGTACATTGGTTATCCTAGTGGTGCTCAGTTTCCCTCCCGTAGTTGAACCATATTTCGCCAAAGTTTCTTCGCGATGTGATTTCGTCGGACTTTCGATGCGTCCAGTTTCTGCAGTGTTTATTTTTTATGCATGGTTCTGCTTTAATCATATCCTTGGCCGGTGCTTATCTTAAAGTTATCCTCAGTTATCCACTCTCACACATTACAAAGTTATTCAAGTTATCCTTGAATAACTTTGTAATGTGTGAGAGTGGAACTGTACATTAGCCGCAATAGGAAGAAAGAAGCGTGGAAGATGGAAAGCGTGGGAGGGCGCACCCAAAGTAGTAAGAAGTTGATGATTTTGCGCTTCCATATCAAAAGCGGCCAGCGGCGACTACGTGCTGCTGGCGGCTGCTACGGGCTGCTAGCGGGGGCTGCGGGCGCGGTATGAAGGCACCCTAAGGTTTTGACTGCTCTTCGGAGCGACAGCGTCCCGTCTAATCAAAATCTTCTGGATCCTAACTTACCAGAAGTGAGTGAAATCACCTAGAGATTTTAGTATGTCTTGGAAAGGTAAGCGAGGAGGTAATCGAAAAGGATAAGAAATCAAGGAGCGTCGTAATCTCTGGGTTTCCATAACTTGAAGTGCCGAGTGATGGAGCCATGCCGTCAGCGTCAACTACAGAAGACGACACTGAGCGGAAAAATCGGTTTTGACTTTCAAATCGAGAAATCGACTCATCGATTTCTTGATTTGAAAG